ACAAACTACCAAAGTATACTTAAAAACAAAGATAACCTGGATAGCCCTGTACCCATTAAAGAAATTGAATTTAGAGTTAAAAAACATTCTCACAAAGAGAATTCCAGGTCCAGATAGCTTCACTGGTAAAGTCTATGAAACACAGGAGAATACCAGTTCTTCGCATTCTTCCAGAACATTAGAAAGGAGGGAGTACTTTCCCAACCTAGTCTGTGAGACCAGCACTTATTCTAATACTAACACCAAAGACATTATAAGAAAACTGCAGACCAGTAGCCCTTATTGATATAGATACAAAAGTCCTTAACTAAATATTAGCAAGTTGAATCCAGCAATGCATAGAGGGGTAATAATCATGACCAGGCAGGGTTTATCTTACAGACGCAAGGTTGATTTAACATTCAAAAGCTATTCAGTCTCATTCACCATATTAAGAAAACCAGAAAGGGCCTGGCTGGTATAGCTCAGTGGATTAAGCGTGGGCTTGCTAACCAGAGGGCTGCTGGTTTGATCCCAATCAGGGCACATGCCTGGGTTGCAGGCCAGGTCACCAGGAGGGGGCACATGAGAGGCAACCACACATTGATGTCTCTCTCTCTGTCGCCTTCCCTTCCCTTCTCTCTAAAAAGAAATAAATGAAAATCTTTAAAAAAAAACCAAAAAGGGAACAAGATCATATGATCTTTTCATTGTATGTGGAAAAGGCATTTGGTCATAACTCCACACACATTCATTACAAAAACTATCAGCAACTGGAAGTTTCCTTAACTTGATAAAGGGCATTGAGCCAAAACCTATAGCCAACCCCAAATTTAATAGTGAAAAAACAAGTACTTTGCTCCCTAAGATCAGGAAAAAAGCTAGGATGTCAGCCCACCACTTCTGTGGTGCATTGTGCTGAAATTACCAGCAAATACAGTAAGGTGATACAAAGAAATTCAAACTGGAAAGAAAGAAGTAAAACTCTTAATTCATGAGACTACATGATTGTTGCTGAGTCATTTTGAATGCGATGGCCACACAGTGCACTCACTCAACTGTGTCTACCGCCCCCACTGACTAGTCCAGTGAAGTCATCATTGTTCACACATGTGCATTCCAATCCAGGCTCCTTGGCTACCAGGTTACATTGATGTCATGCAAACCGTTCTCGTTATATTAACAGTGGCTGGACTTTTTCCTGACAGACCTTGTATACTTCTGATGGAAATGCAAAATGGCACTGAAACTCTGGAAACTGTTAGCAGCTTACTTTAAAATGAAACACACCCTTGCCGTATGACTCAACTTTACCCAAGAAAAGCAGAAAATAGATCCACGTGGATTTTGATGTTAATGTTTATAGTAGCTCGATGAATGAATAATAGCCTGAAATGAAGGGAACCCAGATGTCCATCCAGTAAGGAATGATAAACAAATTGTGGTATATCCATACAATGAAATATTACTCAACCAAAAAGAATAAAAAAAGAAATGAACAACGACAGGGATAAATTTTGGGAGCCTTGTGCTAACTAAAAGAAACCAGACACAAAAGTCTATACACTGTTACTTCATTCGTATGGAATTCTCCCAATGGCAAAACTCTAGTGACAAGAACTGTGTGCAAAAATGGTGTTTTTCTTTAAAAGAAAAAAAGGCCAAAAGGAAGCAAAATGAACTGAGGTTCTATGCCCAACCTATATACCAAAGTAGAGAGCTACAGCTGCCTTAGAGATTTTGTACCTATGCATAAACAGTAATAAGTTTGCTATAATCACTGAGTGAATGAAGTGGATGAGTAAGTTGGATTTTTACTATTTGGGGTTAGTTCAATTTGACTATGATATACTGAGACACTTTGTCCTGGCGACTCCAGATGACTCTGAGAAAACTTTCAGATAGTTGGTTCCAAAAACATAGCTGCATCATTGGAATAAAATTTAACCTCTTGAGTTCAGTACTTTGAAGGAGCCAAGTGTTTGGAGAACCCCCTTTTTCCCCTCAAAGACAATGGAGTTAAATTTCCCCTTTCAAATCATTCTCGTTTCAGTCTCTTTGAACATTCACTGGCAATAGCCAATAATATCTATTTCAGTTTTAGATGAAGAACCAAGGTCAGGAATCCAGGGAACCAACCCCATGGCTGCAAAGCCTTCCTACATATTAACTCAGGAGGCCCAGCAGCCCAGCAGTGCCACAGGCAGGAGCCCCAAAAGAATCAGAACTAATTTTCCAACAATCAGAGCTGTCTGAAATACACGTGGATGGCCTTGGGAAAGAGTGAATTCCCGCAGGTTGAAGTGGCAACGGCAGACTCCGTTGGCAGGAAGAGAGAGGCAAAGTTTCGGGCGTCAGATGAGGTGTTAAGCTGATGCTGCGGAAACCTGGCTGAGCCAGGCTCCCCAGATGGGCCGCACAGTCCCGAGCCTCCCGTGGGGGACCTCTTCCAGCCTTGGATCTCGTGATGGCTTAGATTATAGGCTTTGTGTGATGTGCCACTTGAATTCAATTTTCAGTATGGCAGCCCCCTAACCTGTTGTTAAATATGTAACATGTCTCCGTACAGTTCTGAAAGATGCCATCTTGTGTGGGTGGAAAATAGACCCAGAGTTCATTTGCAATCAAACAAATGTGCACATTTCTGTTTGCTTCAGTGCCACCCAGTACCTTTCCCCGACTCACTCAGTTTTCTGGCAAGTAATTGATGCATTTAATTTGCTCTCATTATTGGTTTAATTGAAGTGGTTATATATCAAGAGTCCAGATACCTATCTCAGGGTAAATGCCAAAAGGCAGGAATCTTTTTCCAGAGGCACTTCATGGCTTAAAATAATATGTTCAGTACTTAAAATTGCAAATATCTTCTTCCAAATAGCCTGGCAGAAGAGGAGAAGGCCCCAGATGGTCAAGTTTGGCAGTGCCAGGGCCACTGAATGCAGGGCGCCATCTTTAAAGTAGATGATTTATTTCATTGTCAAGCAGGGAAGGGGAAACATATTGTAGAATGGAGTGTATTACATGCCTCCCTCCTCAGACATGGAGGGACCCTGAGCACAGGTTCTTTTCCCTGAATTAATCCCAGTCCTAGTCCTTCCATGTATTTGTTCAGTGATATTTAGGAGCATCACTGTGCATCTCACTAGGGGAGGTGCTGTGGGGGACACAATGCAAACACGATACCTGCCTCGGTCTGAGCTAACTGGAAATGCATTGTGGGCAGACCGGATGGAAGAGCGAGCAACAGCTAGAGGGTGTCGGGAGCAGGCCAGTTCAATGGATTGGTAAATGGGGACAGTGAAGGTCAAAGGAAGAAAGGATGTTGCTTATTTGAGTCATTGAAGGGAAGAGTGGTTTGTATGTATGAGCCATGCCTGTAGTTCCAAGGAAGGGGACAGGCATGTTCTATTGGGTAGAAATGTCAAGGACAGTGAGAGGCAATTACTTTGGTGATTAAGTCATCGCTGTTGACCTTCAAGAGTAGGCATTTTGGGAGAGGCTGGCATTGGGAGCCAGGTCATGCTGAGTGACAGGGCAGCCACGTTTGGGGAGGTGGAGGGTGGTCACTCCTTGGAGATGTTTGATAGTGAAGGGGGAGGTACAAATAAGTGATGAGATTTTCTTTTCCTCAGAAGAAAATTATTATTTTGAAGATAGAAGCTAGTGGGATAATTAAAGGGGAAGGTCAAATATGTTTGAAAGGGAATGATTAAATTGTAAGATCCCAGATGGGATAATGTTAATAAGGAGAGAACCAAAGGATAATGGATTGTATTTTTGACAGGGAAGTGAACTGGCATAAAGTGTATTTTTCCATGTTATGTTAAAATGTTACATTCAGGAACTCAAATATCGTTGATTAGTTGGGGAAGAGGAAGAATTGGAAGTGGTTGCATATTTAAGTCTCATTCGTTCACAATCATTAATGTTTTGTGACTTCTGGTAGTAATTTAATGGGGTTATTCCTTACTTTTGCGATGGAACACCAAGGTCTGTGAACAGAAGAGAGAAGTTTTTCTGCCCTCACCCCTGCCTCCTTCTCTAGAGGACAGAGCTCCTCTCAGGGACCAGAGTTTGTCACACTGACCACCATTTCATGTCTTTCATTGTTGAACTGGGTTGGGGGAAAAGGAGACGCGGTTACCACCTGTGGTCGATTAAAGTTGGCAATTACCCTGAAGCTAACTTTACCACGGTACGGAGCTTTCAGGGAGCTCTGCCGTTCAGGAGTGAGTCCAAGTTTGGTCACACAAAATGACCGCGACCATGTAAGATTTCGTGGGAATAGCCAAATCACTGAGGAAATCACGTGTGTTGTGTGTGGTCACTAAACCTTCTGAATGTGCATTCGCTCTCTGCTATGTGAGACCCACACGAATGTCTCACTCCTTCAAAACTATTAGGTTGGCCATAAAGTTCATTTGTTTTTTTCCTGTAAGATGGCTCTAGTAGTGCTTAGTTGCCTTTAACTTCATTCAAAACAATTTTGTTAGATTGTACTGTGACAGCTGTCATATCAGCGTGCATTTAAAAAAGAACTTACCAAAATTGGTAAATTTTTGTGTAGCTATTTTAATATTGAAGATGGAGGAAAATACACCATATTTTTGGCATACTATGCTTTATTACTTCGAGAAAAGTTACAATGCAGCTGAAACACATAAAAAGATTTGTACGGTGTATGAAGAAGGTGCCATGATTGACCAAATGCGCCAAAAGTACTTTGCAAAGTTTCGTGCTGGAGATTTCTCACTGGACCATGCTCCACAGTTGGGTAGACCAGCTGAAGCTGATAGCCATCAAATCAAGACATTAATTGAGAACAATCCACATGTACCATGCTGGAGACAGCCAACATACTCAAAAGTATCCAAATCAATTAAGTTATTGGTGAAAATGAAAAATATGTCTTTTATTTTACGGGAAAAAACCAAGCAGACTTCTTGGCCAACCAATAACTGAGTCATTAAAAACAGCTCTGCTGCACCTGGGACCTCACAGGTCTCCCCTGTGCTCCCCAGACACAGGTGTGTTTGCCGTGGTGAACGGCCATTCCTTGTCTCTGCTGGGGAAGCTGACCATCAGCGCCGCCTTTAACGTAGCGTATATCTACACCTCTGAGCTCTACCCCACCGTCATCAGGTAAGAGCCCCCCACCCCCGCACACACCCCTCCTCCTGTGCTTTGGTGGACACGCCGACATCACCAGAGGTAGGGTTCTCACTTCCCCAGAGCAGAGTTAGTGGGGGCCAGCAGCAATTCGGCAAGTAGTGATTAGCTCAGAAACTGTGCGTGTAGACTGTTCTTTGCTCTCTCGGCTGTGGAATTGTAGCTTTATCATGAGCTGAGTTCCCGCGTGTAAATCCAGAGGGAAGTGCTTTGCTCTAAATTGTCTTGTCACCCAGGCAGTGCTTGGGTGTTGTCTAATTTCGGCGGACTTTATTTATTGATAAAGTCACCCATCCTGTGTCAGGCACATGACAGCCGAGAGGACAAAGTCCCTGTTCTCACAGAGCCTACATTTTAGCACAAAATATACATATTTTTAAAATTAAATGTATTGGGGTAATGTTGGTTAATAACATCACAATATATACACATTTTTAAAAAGATAATTCCATAGAGTAATAAATATTAGATTTGCATATTAGTTGTTCAGATGGTTTTAATGAGTAGGACATGGTTATATTAAAAAGAACACATTCCAGCCCTGGCTGGTGTAGCTCAGTGGATTGAGTGCCAGCCTGTGAACCAAAGGGTTGCTGGTTCACTTCCCAGTGTAGGACACATACCTGGGTTGCATGCCCTGTAGAGGGTGTACAAGAGGCCACCACACATTGATGTTTTTATCCCTTCCTTTCCCCTCTCTCTAAAAATAAATAAATTTAAAAAATCTTTTTTTAAAAAAAAAGCATATTCCAGCCCTAGCAGGTAGTTCATTTTGTTAGAGCTTCGTCCCACCAGGCCAAGGTTGTGGGTTCCATCCCTGGTCAGGGCACATACAAAAGTCCATCAAGAATGCATATAAGTGGCTCTGGCTGGTGTGGCTCCATGGATTGAGCCACTGGCCTGTAAATGAAAGGGTTGCTGGTTCGATTCCCTGTGGGGGTGCATGCCTAGGTTGCAGGCCAGGTTCCCAGTTGGGGGCATATGAGAAGCAACCACACACTGATGTTTCTCCCCCTCTCTTTCTCCCTCCTTTCCCCTCTCTCTATAAAGAAATAAATAAAATTTAAAATCTTTAAAAAAAGAATGCATATAAGTGGAACAACAAATTGATTTTCCTCTTTGTCTCTCAAATCAATAAAAAAAATAGGAAGACCACATTCCACCTTAAGTTTCCCGTCACACCAGAAAACAAGAAACCAACACCGACCGAGGGGCAGGGGACAGCTTCGTCCTCACAGAGCTGCCCTGTGAGCGGGGCCAGGGACCCCTCAGTCGGCACCTCCCTGGTTTTCGACTGTCGTTCCAGATGAATCCCTGTTTCCTTATCCACGCAGAAAGCCTAACGGTTTTTTCTGCCTTTGTCCATTAAGAGACAGGATAGTCTGCAACTGGCTCATCATTTCTACCTGTTCCCGGACCCTTACTTTTCCGGCTGCTGGCTGTAAACGAGAATGACCACTTCTTCCAAACTGGGACGCGTTTGAGAAGAACGTGTTAGTGACAGTTAGTGTGGGGGACGGGGTGACGTGTGGTCTCCCTTCCTGTGCCCATTACCGAAATTCTCACTTCCTCCCACCTCTTCCATCCCACACTGCACAGGAAGGTGATGTGTTTGATTTCCTAAGAAAATACGTTCAGTCCACTCCTATTTACATGCCCAGCGCTTTAGTAGTGGATTAGAGTTTAGATGAATGAACAGGCTTTTTAGATCAGGAAGCTCTGGCTCTCTATGGCTGTACTGACTGGTAGGAGACATAAGGTCCCCAAACCCACAAAAGCATGTGGGACAGGGAATAGCCACGTGCTCAGTTCTGCACCCGCCTCTATAACTCACCTGCCCAGCAGGGAAGGCAGTAGCCTCCTGTGGCAGTTGAAATTTAAGTTCATTAAAACAAAACAAGTTGAAAACTCAGTCCCCCACCTTTAGCCCCATCCTGCGTGCTCTGTCGCTGCCTGTCCGGTGGCTCCCACGCGGGCTGCATGAACAGAGCACCTTCGCAGTGTCTCGGGAAGCTCGGGAGGCGGCACTGCTCTGGGGGACCCTGCGTCTTTCCTCCGGGACGTGTTGTGCGAGGCCCACTGCCCCCAGGGTGTTTCAGTGGTCCCCCTAGAACTTACAGATTTTTGTGAAAGCTTTCTCTTGATGCCTTTCAGGAATGTTGGGCTTGGGACGTGCTCCATGTTCTCCCGAGTCGGCGGGATTATTGCTCCCTTCGTCCCCTCACTGGTTGGTTTGTATTTCCTCCTTTTGTTTTCCTTGAGTCTCTGCTTTGGGAACACGTGGGCTTTTGAAGTTAAGGATCCTTTTAGATGGAGTGTCTGTTGGCACAGATAGACTCCGACCAAGGATGTTGTTATCGCCCCCTCCCCCCAGGCCCTGATTTTCTGCTCTCTGCATTCATTGGAGACTTAGCTAAGGCCATCCTTTCCCTCATCCTTTCCCCCTTCACAAGTTAGTTAGCAAACATTTATTAAGCATCTGCTGTATGCTGGGCTCTGAGCTAAACTCTTTCTGTATATAATCCCGTGCAGTCTTCACAGTAAAACCTTCAGGGCAGGCATCGTCGCCTCCCTGTAATAAAGAGCAGCCTGCAGCAGAGACATGACGTGCCCTCCCCAAAGGCACACCACTTGGAAAGGAAGATCAGAGGAGAAATGTGCCTAGCAGTGCATCTCCTAACTTTCTGCCATTTTCCAAAGTTTATAGTCAAAGCAAAGAGGTTAGACTGAAACGACAGCCTGCAAGTCCTTCCCCACGGGAAATGTCAGGTGCTGTGAGAGCCCGTGGAGCCCTGTGCGCGTCCCTGCTTGGTCTGAGCTCTGGCTGTCCCAGCCAAGCTTGGGGAGGAAGAAGTCAGGTTTGGTGTGGCCCTCGAGTGCCTGTCCCGTAGACGACTGTCCCTACCCTGGCACCTTTCCTCACCACTTCCCAGCACGGGACGTCTCTGAAATGCCACTGTAGCTTTTCCTTCTTTGGAGTTGTGATACACTTCCTTTCCTGCGTATCTCTCTCCATGTCTCGTGTTTAACTTCAGATTACAGGACCCTTCTTTTTTTGAAGCAGTCATATTAGTCCCATCATGTAAAATGTGTCTGACATTAGAGGCTTATTGTTCAAGAGACCGACCCACCTTTGGCTGGCTGCCGTAAAGCGTGGTAAAACCCTGCACTGGGTCTCTGTGGACTCCGGCTGGGTTGAGAGGGGGTGAGGGTGTTGTGTTCCCTTTGATTCAGCAACAAAGCCATAGTGTGTGTGCGCAGAGGTGGCCAGAGGTCAGAGAATCTCTTCCTCCCACCACCCATCCCCATTCCCGCTCCAGCCCTTGTCCCCCCACAGCCCATCTCCTCCTCCTCCTCCTCCTCCTCCATCATCCCTTCACTTTTGCAAAACCAGCAAACTCTTCAACATTACCCAGAGGGCCATCTTCTCTAGCGGTGGCCCGGCTCTCAGAGTACGGAAGCCCAACCCAGGGAGCAGCTGCTATGCAGGAATTCGAGCCTGTGAGTCAGCTCGGGAAGGCCCCGGGGCAACATCCCCCAGGGCCAGTTTCTCCTGTATTATCTTTGAGTCTGCTTTGATGTCAAGAAACTAAATTTTCCTGAGAATATCTTTTGGATCTCTGAGGCGAGTGCTTGAATCGCTGGCCCTCACCCACACCCAGATCAGGTAGTTTCCAACTACAGGTCCATGTCCGGTGCTTTCGGAGTCTCTCGTTCCCTTCAGGAGGTGTGTACCTCTAACCCCCCACCTCTCGGGAATGCTGCTAAGCGAATCCTTGAGCCTGTACGGGATCGTTTGGCTGATGCCAGGGTTGAGAACGTTCAAGTTCATCATCGGCAAATGTTTGGGACATTTCCCAAGTGAAGACTATGTGGAAATCACTGGGGTATAAGCTGAGCACCAAGTTCCCCGTGAACTCTGGCCGTGGGCCTGGCCAGCTTCTCCCACAATGCATGCCCCACGTCTAACACAGCAGGCTGCTCTGAGGCTGCTGGGATCCCCAGCAGCTGTGTTATTTACTCACTCCCATTTGTGTGCCCGAGGGACCACGAATCCCCCAGGGTAATTCTCTTTGGGGAAAGAAGTGGTTTATGGTGTCTTCGAGTGGGAAGGCAGGAACTGGGTTGTAAACAGGGCAGGTCCTCCGTCCAGACTGCTGATGTCATCTCCCAGGAAACTGATACCGAGTTTCTGTTTGTTTTCATCCTGCTCTCTACCCCGCAGAAGTATGTGCAGTGGTCTTTGCCTTTCGTTGTCTTTGGAGCCTCGGGCCTGACCTCGGGCCTCCTGAGTTTATTATTGCCAGAGACCCTTAACGCTCCTTTGCTAGAGACAGTTTCTGACCTTCAGGTGTGTTCATACCGGAGGCTGGGGGAGGAAGCCCTATGTTTACAGACCTTGGATACCCCACAGGTAGGGCTGCACTTGTCTTAATCATTCAGCATCACCACTTGGATGATGAGAGTTTGGGGAGGGGGAAAGTGTGTCTGGTTGGATTAAACAGATTTGAGCAAAACTGCTGGAAAACAAAGGGAGGGAGGGGTCTGATTTTCAGAGATTTTATTTCAGCAGCCGATTTGCAGAGGAATAAAGATAGTCATTAGCTTTATTACAATACCTTAGGGGCTCATTCTTAAGGGGTTAGATGTCATAGAAGCACATTGGTCAGTTAAGTGCTAGATAGTAACTTTCACTTTAGAAACATCATGAGTCCTTTTCCGCCCTCTTCCCCTTTTGTTTCAGTCCATGGACAAGGAGGGCGCTTTCGGGAGTGAGAGCGAAGAGGAGGAGTTCTATGACGCACATGAAGAGACTCAGATGATCAGGTGAAAAGCCCCAGGTTCCTCCTCCGAAGCAGCAGATCATCACCTGTGCCTCTGGCCAAGGCCGGCTCTCCTGGGACACCCGAGAGAGCTGCAGAAGGATGGGCTCAAACATACAGAGAAGCTACTCAGCTTCCGGACCGATTTCTTCCTGGCACAGAGTGAGCTGGAGAAGAGATTTCATGAGCGAGGCCATCCCTGCATTGAGGAAACAGATGTTACTTGGTCAAAAACTCAGATTTACCTCAGAATCGTGACCTCTGGCCAGACAGCTCGAATCCACATGCCGGAACGGGGCTGATTCGTTTCTAGACATTCGATTGGGTTGCTTTTCCTTCATCATGACCTAAAGGCAAATATGTAAAAAGAAATTTTTTCTCACCATTTTCAGGGGATGAGATAAACACCTTTCAGATAGAATGGTTAGGCTGTTAAGATTCATCTTTATGCCGTATTGGATCTCTACCCTTCTCGCTTGCTCCTCGCCAGGAATCTTCTGAGGCAATGTTGGTAACAGCAGGGCAGAAGCACCGGGTTTGGGTGGCCCCAGACCCGCCAGCCTCACCCCAATGACATCTGAGTCCTCGGCCCGGTTCTCAGCCTCACAGTTGGCTCCAGGTGTCTTCCATCCCACAGGTAAACCCTCTGGGGAAAGCCCACCGTCCCAAACTAGCTTTCTCGGAGCTGTGGCCTTGACTCCCTTCTACGTTCAAATTGTGACATTTCTTCAGTTCCCACTTGCGTCCACCTCTAGAAAAAGTGCCATCTCAGACTCCAGTACCAGCAATAGCTTCAGAGGCATCCCCACTCAGTGACGAAGTTTTATGAATGTGGAGAACAGTTTAAAAAATGACATACATGTTGAGCACTGGGGTGTTGGGGGTGTGGGGGAGAGAGTGCCATTTTTAACAAGGAACAGAAAATTATCTCCCACAATGTTACAATCTGGTTGTCAGTGTTGTGCAATGCGGAACTTGGGCAAACATGTAAGAATTTGAACTCTTCTAGTCTGAGATCTATCCCTACCAGTTTAGTCAAACAGAAGGCACAGTAATTTCACAGGAAATTGTGGTTTTTCATGAAGTACTAACAACTCGCAAGCAAATGAAAATCATACTTAGTTCCCTAAAGTCATGTGCTGAAAAGATCTGATTCCCCATGAAACCTGAAGGTTCTGTCAAATCGGAGCCCCAACCTGGAGTCAGTGGGCTTGGTCCGCATGGCTCTAAGTTACTTTCCCAACCAGGAAAATGTCTGCATTTTCGGAATTCCCATTTCTGCTAATCTCTTAGAGGAGAAGATACTGCGTTAGAGTAAAAGGAAGACATCACCATGACCACCACTGGAAATCTCGGAGGCATCACCCCAGTCGGCTCCAGTACCCCCCTGTTGTGTTCCACTTCGACCTCTCTGTTCACACTGTGTTGGTCTGTACCTCTGTGTGTGCTGAAGCACGTTTATGTTCTTTATGCCCTTGATTACGCATCGCACTCTTCGTAAGTAGGGGCCATCTCTACTACTTTTTATTTCTCTCTGCTATGCCCAGAACTTGGGCCTAGACAGCGTGCGGACTAGTAAGTATTGATGTTTCTAGCCATCAGGGAAATTGTGGAATGCTTCCCAGATCACTTTTGTAAAGCCCAGGCAGACCTGACCCAGACCCCCATGCTGTGGAACCCCCCTTGTCTTTCTCTGGAAATGAAGACTGTCCATGACCAGGAGTGGAAGAGGAGAATTTACGAGGACTCTTAGAAGCTCTTCTTCAATGGTTGGGACGTTAAGAATAAAACAGTAAACTAACACACATGTGATTTGGGGGTGGTTGGAGCTCTCTTTGCATTGTAAGAGTAACACAGCCCACTATAGAAAATTTGGAAACTAGAATTTAAACACTTTATCACTCATAGGCCCAACACCCTGAGGCAGCCAGTGTTATGGCTTTGTTTTGTTTGATGACCAGTTAGGAATCTCTCTCTGTGTTGGCACTAGGGTTCGCTCTGCCCCTGGCTAAATAAATGAGCGTTCTATTAATTCTATCCCTGGGTATCCTTTTTTCCAGCTACAGAGTGGAAGAAGGGAGGGAGGGATACAGTTTGGACACATGTTACTTAATAAGGGGAGTCAGACTATCAGCGGCTCATGTCAGATGTGTTGCTCCATTTGTTTCTAGATGTTTCGGCAAAGTTTAGTCATGATTATTTTTTTATTCTGCCTTTTATAAAAGCATTTTTTCTGTTGAAGAATGGTGGAATGTAGAGAATGTGCATATGTATAACTTTGTGTTAATTAAGTTATTGGAAGGCTTTTACTTTATAGGCAGCATATTTAGCCTGGCCCTACATGGGTCCTGGGCAATAATGTGACTGTCTTCCACCTCCTCATCTCATCCCACTGGGAGGTGTTCAGGGGCGGTAACAGACGGAGCCGGCATCTTCTAGGATAACAGCGCCTTCTTTGGAAATGCCTCCCGGAAAACTCACCTGGGGCTCTTCTTAAGGAGGTGTTGCTCTTTCCAGAAATACGTCCATGGCAGTTTGCTTGGTTTCTTTTTTTTTCCATCATAGATTTGCTTGTCAGCCAGTAATGCCCATTGAACACTCCTCTCTGTTGACAGCTATGATGTCACTTGGCAACAGAAATGTTTCAGCTCCATTATACTCTTATGGGGCCACCATTGATGACTGAAACATCATTGTGTGGCATGTGATTGTATGTTTAAATGTATTTATATATGTATGTGTGTGAGTATTTATAAAACTTTCATGAAACAATATTTTTCTTAGGCCTACTAACAATTTACATTGTTTTATTTCATTTTATAAATGCTGTTGGTGAGCCACTAACAGAATGCAGCCCATAGTTGGAAACCCACTCTTCACTGCTCTGTGCTGCACGTTTCCCAAAGTCCTTTTAGCTGGGCTTTCGGGTGCAGCTGTGTCTCCATCAGACAGAGGCGGAATCTGGGAGGTGGGAGCGAGGCGAGGTCGTACACGAGATGTGCTGGTTTCTTTGCACTGGGGTCCAGGCATTGAGCTCCACCAAGTCAGTTTCAGCAGCGATGTTGATGGCAGGGGCAATATTGATTAAAATCTTAACAAGAGTTTAGGTAGACAAAGAACTAGAGAGGACAAAGCTAGAGCAAGATTTCAACATTGAGCCTAACAAAATAATTTCAATATTCATATGGAAAAGTAAACATCGGGAATAGTCAAGACAATGCTGAAAAACAAGAACAAGCAGAAGGGATTTGCATTCCCATGTACGGAGACTTCTGAAGCTCTCGTCTTGGTACGGCTGTAAGGAAGTAACCAACAGAACATAATGGAGACTCCAGAATGAAACCAAGCATGTAAAACATTTTTAAAAAGACAGTATGATGAATCAGTGGGAAAAGAGCTAACTATTCAATTATTGATGTGGGAACAATTGGGTTTCCATCTCAAAGAAAATAAATTAGGTTCTTGTCACCATAACAAAAATAAATTCCAAATGAGCTAAAGGCCTAAATGAAAAAAATGCAAAACTATTTTAAAGTGATAGAAGAGAATATATTTATGACCTTGGGGGAATAGATGGATTTCTCAGACAAGAAGTAAAAAATTGCAAATTATTTTAAAAAAAAGAAAATATTAATTGAATGACTATCTAAATTTAAAACTCTCTTCTGTGTGACTAACAATACCACAAAGTTAAAAGAAAAGCAATAGGAATAAGGATTTGCAACTTCTGTAAGAGACAAGGGTTACTATCCAGAATGTATCCAGAATTAGTGAAAATAAGAAAGAAAAGTAATAGGAAAATTTATAATAAATGTTAGGTAATTCACAGATGAAAACCTCAGCCTCACTGGAAAATCAGAGAAATGCAAATTGAAACAAAGATACTCAAAATGCACAAGACTGGGGAGGAGTCATCAAATCAAAGTTTGAGGATATAAAGAAAAAGAATTTACTTACATCGACAGAAGCATAAGTGGATTCATCATCAAACTCAGTAGCAGGCAGGTGGAAAATGTGCATATTCTGAGGCATAGAAATTCTGCTTCTGGGTCTATATCATGGGTTGGTTTTCAGATGTTTTGATTGTAACCATCATAAGAAAAACTTTTACACAAGGGCACGCACAGTATACAAACCTATGTACATGTCTCCATATATTTGTGTATATACAGGGTCCGGCAGAAGCACAGCCTGCTTGAGTGTGGCTGGCAGGGTAATAATATGAGTGTAATAATTTATAGTTTTAATTTGAACATTCCACCTAAAATGTCATAGGGTGTGCTCAAGTGTGATGTTGTTATATTACAGAATTACATGCTTAGGATTTTGTAATAAAAATGGGGTGTTATCTGTGTGAGACCCTGTATATTGGTAAAATGATATTTCGTAAAATAATACTTGCCCTTTATATGTCCATTGCATTGCCTTTCTAGTTTACTTTATCATGGAAATAATACTGGTGAAAACACAAAAGCAATTCCACAGTTCATAAGCAGATTAAAATATGCAGCTGGAAAAAGCAAAACATGATACCTTTAGTGTTTTCCTTATTACTTGCCTAGGGTGAATGTGCCGGGAGATGGGTACAAAGATGTCCCTTGTACTTGTAGTAAAACAGTGACATTAAATATCCTTACTGAAGAGTAAGGAAATGTTGAGATACAATTTTATATTCATAGACTGGAATGAGAAGGAGTTCTATGTACAGAGGTGGGCGAATCTCAACAACATTGAACCGGTTTTGCTAGATCAAAGTCATTTCAAGGTTAAATTATTTAGTGAGTTACTGGAGCACTAGCCAATTAATGTGTGTTTTATGTCATATTTTACCATCAAGACTTGATATTTTCTTGCAAAAATAGAAGTCTCACTATTATTCCCACCTGAAAGAAGAGTTATTCCTCTTCCCTGTAGGTCTACATTTCTTTTGAAAGATAGTTTTGCATCTGTGGAAACATTTAGAAAACTTCTCAGCTGAGACCTCAGAACTCTGTGGGATAAAGCTTAGGAG